CTCTGAGCTCTTCGGAACAACCCATTCATTCACAAATATTTGTAAACCTGACTGCCTGACTTTTGTCTGTATAGTGTGGCTGTTAAAAAATACAAAAAGTCCGGCACAGTCAGAAAGTCTTTTTCCAGTAGCGTAAATTGTACATTTGGCATCAGACTGTATTAGCATGAAAAATGACTTAAAATCTCCAGAGCAGTTGGGCAGCAGATATGGTGCTGATGCTGTTTCTTGTGTCACAGGAGCCCCATGTTCACCTTTGACCTGAACTGTGCTGTGGGGGATGTGGTTTGGTCCCCATATTCATCGGCCGTGTTCGCCGCTGTCACCATCGATGGCAAGGTACACACACCCTGACTGGGCCCTAACCCTCAGTCCGATTTTCTGATTAAATGCATTTGAAATATTATATGACATGCAAATACATTTCGTATCTTTTAGCAATAGGTAAAATAAGGTTTCAAACATGGTGAGAGAGTATATAAGACATATACGTATGCATGATATGTATATGGATGCAAGAATAAAAATACCTTTCAGTCGAACTGAATATGAATATTTATTTACACTAATTAGGAATTATCATTTTGCATTATGTATTACTTCTGTCTCCTGAGGCCATCGATTCCAGGAGAATATCTTAACGTATAATGTCTACCAGTTGGTTACTAGGGTAGTATTTAGCTGTTCTGGTAAATAATTTGATGAGCTGGATTTGACTTACATCCCATTCAAGATGTACCCCCTATCCTGTGTTGTCTGGTATAGGCTCCTGGTACAAGTCCCAGTTTCACCTGCATATCTGTCCTGCATGAGAGTTTGGATGGATGAGCTGATTTGGTTTTTCGTTACATTTAGCCTATAGTCAGTCTACCCGGTTATTTTGAAATCTAAAATTTTATACCATTCATATTGGGCAGTTTAGTGAGCAGCTTAATGTAGTAACTGTTTTCTTCTACTGAACTCTTCACACCATTTGTATCAGAAGATGTGAGCACCCTGGCGTGTGACTCTGCGCGGTGATACGGTTGGTGGGTGGAGTTCAGTAGAAGATAATACTTCCTACGTTAAAACTGTTCACTACAAAGTCTGTGGATTATCTTCAGTAAACGGGTCATGATTTCTGGTAACATTGCTGTTAAATATCTAATATATTTTTGCCGCTTTAATCACCACAAAAAGAATGTCATTCAGTGCCATTTCATTCAAGAGAAGCCTGACATTTCTGTGACTGATATCTCCAAGATGGATAGATAGCCCTAAAGTTCCCCATACTGTATCTTTTTCAGGTTTGGCGTGAACTGCCCCTTTGATTGTTTTGCACCATCGTTTATATTGTTCCCAGATAGATAATATTGCTCTTTCCCTGACTTGATCTCTCATGTACAGTATAATGTACTGTTTCTGTGGCATGGCCTTCACTGAATTTTGCACCATAACTCCTCTGTCCCATCTCACACAACAAGCCAGACTTTTGGCAGCCGCATCAGTTTAGAAACTGCAGCTTCCCATGTGTCTTACTGAAGTCCCTAATTAAAATCAGTTCAAGCACACATTTCCTGGTATCCACAATACAAAACACAAAACCTGGCGGTTGTGTCCTATCTGTCTGGCTCTGCCTGTCATTTGCAGTCAAGCTTCTCTTTGTGCTTGTTAATAGCGGGCAGGTGAAGCTAAATTATATGAACAGACTGGGTGTATCCCTTTAACAAATCCTGCGTAAGCACCAGGACATCAGCCTTCCCCCAGGCCACTTCCTAATCATAAATCTATTAATGCAGTTTTCTGTCATTTGCATGTTGATTGTGATCCATTAAGGTCATTGTGTGGCTTTGTGAGTTATGACTCTCTGCCCATGATAGTAAGGTTGCTGGTTCAAATCCCATGGGAGGCAAAGTGATACCTCCATTGGACCCTTGAGCAATACCCTTAACCCCAATTGCTCCAGAGGGGCTGGATGCTGGCCAACCTTGTGCTGTGACCCCAGAACCTGCTCTCACCTGTATATCTATCTGTGTGACTCACGGAGAGCAAGATGGGACTGGCAAAAAAGTACAGGAGAATAAATTGGGAATAGGAAACTTATTATGGATTATTGTGAAGATATGGGCTGAAAGATGTGCGCATATATTGCTTATTGCTATGTTCAGTATTCCGAATTAGATTACCATAACGCTTAATTTCCACTATAGAATTGTTTGAAATGTTGTTTGGACAAGTGACAGGTCTTGCAGAATAAGACCATGTTGGACTGGGAGACATTATGCATTTATTACAATGATCTGAGCTAATAGTTTAATACTGTAAAACCCATAATTTTCTCAGCCATCACTCCTGCTTCTGGCTTTGCAGTCACATTTTCTTTAGGTAAGAACACAAAAAACCAAAAAGTTGAGTTTAATCAAATTAAAAAAGTATTTGTGAGCTCTAAATAGCAAATTGAGAGCATAAAAGAAGTAAATCATGAGCACATTTTAGGGATTTTGTGAGCTCAGTTTAGAATTTTGTTGGAACATTAAACTAAATTGTGCACATGATGTAGTACAATGTACCCACAGGAAAAAAAAAACTACCTTTTGTAAATTCGTTAGAGATCTTAATGTGTCACAGAAAATGTTAGTAGTGCAAAAGAAAAATAAATACAATATAAATATTTAGACATATGCAAAATATAAATAATACAAATGATGTTTTAAGACATGGACACAAAGACATCAAGACATATTTTAAAACATGGATGAAACATTAAGACATGCACAAAGAAATAGAATTAACCACCTAATTAGTGGGGAAACGCCGCACCCAAAACTATGTATCACCTGGCATTACGGTGTAATTGCTGAGCGACACAGACACACCAGCACTCGAGTATTAATGCTCGTATCGGTGTTGTCCACGGTGTAGGCTCACTGCATAAGTATAAATGCTCGTATCGGTGTTGTCCACGGTGTAGGCTAAATGTGCCTTAAAAGCTGAGAAGAGGTGGAGTCGCTAATAGGGGTCATCGGTGATCCCAAGGCTTGGGCTGCATTAGGCGTCCCTGAATGGGTGGGACCTGCAGAAGGGAATCGCTAGGGAGGCGTGGTTGCCGCGGAGGAAGTGACGTTGGCAGCTTTCCCTTGGACAGGTTCACAGGTATCACAGGGTATAGCAGTTCACTCACACACATTTTCCAAGGGCTTAGGGAGCTGGATGGACAACAGAATTACCAGAATTATGTATATAATTATAGGAAGGGAGGAACGGAAGGTTTTAAACTGATATGAGACAAAAGCAATACCTGCTGAGCCAGTATGCTGTGTTACGAGTAGCTAGAAGCTTTTCTGCCACTGGAATTATGCACCCTGCTACAAGCCACAAGCTTGTCCTCCTTGGTTCCTGAACCATGAGCGTCACATTGCTCTAATGTTGATAATGGTTGCAGAAACCAAAGCGCTTAATTACTGCCTGGTACAGAAGGCCATCGCTGACTGCCAGGATAAATGGGGGCTTTCAGCATGGGGATGGAAGTGACCTCTGCCTCCTTCCCAGTGACCTGTACTTGACACCCCCCTCACCATGCCTGCTTTCCGCCAGAGCTCAGCCAGTATCTCTGCAGGAGCTTGGTCAGTGCTTTCATGAAGCAGTGTTTTCTTGAGCAGTCTCGCGTTATAGAAAGGAGACTAAAGGATTGTCATAACAGTCTCAAGAGAATATAAAGTTTACAGGGAAAAATGTGGTTTATGTGAGAGTCGCATTATTGGGATTTGTGTTTACCAGCTATAAGTGAATTTTCATGCAAGTGTTTTTTGAGTGTAAATGTACTTTCAGTGCCACATTTATCTTAATAGTATACAGAGCTAAATAAGCAGATACTTGATTTATGCGTTATGCATATTATACGTTCACCCAGCAGAAACCGGTGATGTTTTTAAGCTTCATGTAAGGTTTATATGGACTTCTGATCTATGTTTCATTCTGTGTTTCTGTCAATGAGCCAGTGAGGGTTTGGCTGTTTCAGGAAAACAGACAACAGGCAGTCCGCATGGCCAGATGGTCGAGCGTCCTCTCCCACCCCACGGCTACTGATACAGTGCTCATACAGCAGACATACAGCATACAGTATACATGTGCCTGCATATACACGCACATACATACACACATGCATACATGTTTCCTTATAGCCAGCTATGGAAGCATCCATACGGACATGTAAGCACACGCAATCACATGCACAGACATACACGCATGCAGATGCACACTCACACAAGCACACAAGCAAACACATGCAAATTGAGGAATGGCTCAGTAAATGGATGAAATGTGGATAAAGCTTTCTGACCAAGAGAATAATAAAACAAAACCATTATAATGTGATTGCCCATTTTTAATGATTCAGGAAGCCACACAGTTTGTGCTGCTCCCTCATACTCTGTTCTGTATTTAGAAACTGAGAGTATGCAGTGTGCAGTACTCTCCATGCACCATTCTGTGTTAAAAATCTGGAACTATGCACTGTGTCCTACTCCTCCATACTCTGTTCTGTATTTAGAAACTGAGAGTATGCAGTGTGCAGTACTCTCCATGCACCATTCTGTGTTAAAAATCTGGAACTATGCACTGTGTCCTACTCCTCCATACTCTGTTCTGTATTTAGAAACTGAGAGTATGCAGTGTGCAGTACTCTCCATGCACCATTCTGTGTTAAAAATCTGGAACTATGCACCGTGTCCTACTCCTCCATACTCTGTTCTGTATTTAGAAACTGAGATTACATAGTTTGTACTATCTCTCCAAGAATATCCAGTATTAAAACTGGCATTTCTGTAGTACTAATCCTTATTAATACTTCATGCTATGTTAAAATTGGGACTAAAAGAATGAAGTACACTCATATTTTATTATATATTAAAAAGGGGATTTCATTGGTTTTTCAGATATTAAGGATACAATTTTTATTCTTTTTTTTTCATACCAGTGTAGGCATGGCGTCATGTTTAAGAATTCTTTATAACGTTTGTTGAGCTTCATGTGCAGAGTATAGAATGTACAGAGTAGTTTTATTTTTATTCAAAGACGGTGGGAAAAACCTTTGCGTCTCTCTTCTTCTCGTCTCCACCAGGTGCATGTTTTTGATTTGACTGTCAACAAATATGAGCCAATCTGCCATCAGCTCGTGGCTGCAAAGAAAACCAAGCTCACACACATCGAGTTCAACCCTGTGCACCCCATCATCATCGTGGGGGACGACCATGGCTTTGTGACCAGCCTGAAGCTGTCTCCTAACCTGCGCAAAAAGCCCAAGGTAAGAGCACTCTGGAGGGAGGCCAGAGAGGAACTTAACCCACGCAGAGGCAGACCAACCAGATCTTACAGCACTTGTGGCAAGAAAAGCTCTACCGTGTCAAAAAATACCTTCCTAGCTCAGGAAATGATGCAAGCACTCAATCATCCACCCTGCGGGTAGTGCCATCCTTCTGCAAAGAAAACAAAAGCGGCCATGTGCAAATGCCCATCACCGCTTGCTCAGAATTGGTCCATTAAGCCTGAAATTGGATTCAGAGTATCTGAATTTATGTCAATTGAATTAAAGTATGTCAAATTATATAAAATTTGAAAAAAAAGTTAAATTATTTAAATATTATTTGCATAAAACATTATGGTGTGCTTTCAACAGAAAAACTTTGTTAAATTTTTAAATTTAAATCAGTCATAGGTTATACAGTGATCCCAGCATACCAGACCCATCAGCGATAGATGAAAAGCCGTGATATAGAAAGATCATATAAATAAACATTTTTTAATAGTTTAAACCTTAAAATACCCCCCCCCCCCACACACACACACACACACACACATATGATATGTGGATGCCGGGATAAGGATATGAATAACATAATAATAATAATAATAATAATAATAATATGTAATGTATATGTATACGCATCGCAGAGAACTGTGATGCGTCAGGGAAAAATCCGCAATATAGTGGGGATGCAATAGCTGAACCGCGATATAATGAGGATCACTGTATATGTTTTGTATTTTAATCATGTTCATTATAATCTCATTAAGAATTAATCTGATTTTAAATATTAGAGCTATAGTCTTTATACACAGTGTGACAAACCAACTGAATATTATGTATATAAGTATATAAATACTTAATACCTACAGCACTCTTGTGTAGTTTTGTAGTTTTAGTGAGTTACTGTAGTGTTCTTCCATTGCATTATTTTCATTTTAACTTTATGACTTCTGGGTTCCCCACTAGCTTGGGTCCAGTTAACTAGATAGATGAATGAGCAAGTCAAATAGTTCCCCAGCAACTCAAATGTTGAAGATCAGTCTTCCCAGTGCTGGCTCCAAATCTGTGGCCTCAGTCTGAACCGGGCGTACGAATTGGAGTCATCCTGGTTACTCGATTTAAACTCATTTACTCTATGTTTTTAAAAGTATAGGTTAGGATTTGCCTTCTCTTTTAAAAGTAAAAGAAAATGCAGCCATTCAGAATAATTTTGAGAGCTGAAGGACTCACTGAATAATGCAAGATTAGTCATAGAATAACTATATGCTCTGTGTCCTTCAGTGTCTTGAAGTAGCCTAGGTTGTCTTTGTCATTACTTCACTTTAAATCATTTTGCTTCATTTATTTTTCACAATTCCTTTATCTTAAATGGAGGGTAGCTCCATCGGTTAGCTTGATCATCTACCATAATACATGACATGGTATATAAAATACTACTTTTTTTGGGGGGGAAATATTGTGTGTATTGAGTTGAGCTGAACAATGCTAGAAAAAGTTGCAAAATTTATAAAATAAATAAGACATTGAAAAATTACCCAAGATTAAGAATAGCCATCAGAAAAATTGCAGAGTTTGCTGAGTTTTGTCACCTGTGACAGAGTAAAAATGTTTTAGTCTACCTTTTTGATGGTTTCAACCCAGCTGACTATTGTGGTCTATGCGACGTAACAGTTTCATGTGCATGATTTGCACTGTGAATATTAACATCGCATATGCAGTGCGCAGTGTGCAGACCTGGGACCGAGGGTGGCGCAGTGGTGCAGAACGTAGCCACATGCTGCAGCTTTGTGTGTTTGGAGTTTGCATGTTCTTCCCATGTGTGTGTGGGTCTACACCGGATCCTCCAGTTTCCCCCCAAAGTCCAGAAACATGCAACTTAAATGAACTGGAGTATTAACTGTATATGTTAATGAGTATGCACCATGCAATGGGCTGGTATTCCATCCAGGATTGGTTCCTGCCTTAGGCAAGTTGCAATATATTATATAAAATTAAATAAATAACTTGTTTGCTGCAGATTCATCAATAGCAAGAAATTTCCACATGTTAAGCGACATGTTTGCAGAATACCTTGTCGTTTCAGGTACTGTATTAGACTGAAAGCAATGCTCATGGGTACTATGTTTGTCACAATTCAGTCTTACATTTTTCATGAAGCTGTATGTTTTTCAGTCCCTAATACAGTTTTGTATTACAATTCAGTTATTATTATCAAGAAAATGCTAAAATGTGTGTAGGATGCTCTGCTCTGGGGTTGCTCGATATTAATGTGAGTATGATAATCTGTAGCCCAGACTGGGTAGATGTCTCCCTAAGTGTTTGACTGGGAAAGGTATTGCTCTCCCATTAGTACACAACAGTCTTAACTGCTAATGCCAGGGAAAAACATTATGCTGTGTCTTTGCTTTGAGCTCTGTCAGTTTAGCTTGCTTTGGGATCTTCTACTTGCTCAGTACCTGTTTACACAGATATTTTGGGGTATTTTTTTATTTATTATTTTTTGGGGGGGGTCAATCTTGAATCTCAGAATGCAGTTGATCTGCTGCTGCTTCTAAAACCTAAACCTCAAGCAGGGCCAAGAATAATTAGAGTTAGTTAAGCCGTCAGCAGCTGAATTCTCAAAGCCCACAACTCATTATCACATTGTGTCCATTGGATTAGTTTCAGGCAATTAGCATGTCCTGGATAGTCTTTGTTAATGCTCCTTAAAGTGGTACTACAGGAACAAGTATGGTTACTGTATTTGCAAACCAGCAACCAGTATGCATGTGGAGTAAGAGAATTTTATTAAGACTAATTTTATTATCAGCAAAATGACAGAGAGGTCAGTGATTCTATTGTTTTTATTGAATTCTTTAAGTGAGTCTCAAAAAATGTGTGTTCCCTAGTTCCTATGCAACTGATTCATGAGGGTTTCAAACAAATTCATTCTGCTGAACTGAAGTGAAAGACCTGAAGTGTAGCGTGTGGGCAGCAGTGTGGGCTAGTGGAGCTGAGCTTGTGATCCCAGGGCTGTAAGCTAGACGCTCATGCTGTTCTTTTCAGCGATGGTATCTGAGCCGACAGTATGATACCTTATCTGCGCCCGCCACAGTACAGGTGGCATAGAAGATCAAGTTCTCGAGTCGGAGAGGATGCGATCCTTTTGTGTATTTGTTGCAGGATTTCATATCAAGATAGGGCAAATATAGTTATTATAGTGCAGTGGTACTCTAAATGATATATGGGACAGCAGTTCCTCCAGCAGGGGAAATTAACTGTGTAAAATAATGCTGGCAGTGGACTTCAAGGCAAAAAGGGTGACAGCTTGAAAAGAACAATTTAGTCTGTATAACACTCACTAAGGACTGATGCAGCTTCACTTTGTAGAATGTTAGTTTCCAGAGTCTTTCTCGCAACAACACCATTGCAGATGTTTCCCCTAAAGCAGAGCAGAGAACTCCAAAGCGAGCTGTGTTATTTTTGTCATGACTGGGTTTAAGAAGAGAAAAAGGCATCTAAGTCCAGGTAGCTTTTTAAATGGCTCATTTTCCATCTGTACATGTCCATCTGTTTATCTTAGGATTGCAAATATCACCATATTCCTTCTCAATAATGATAGTTACAAATGATAATAATGAATTATGCCACTGCTGAGTTCCACCAGCAGCTATTTGAAACTGCAAAAAATGAAGCATGTGTGTCTTCTCCCCCATGTCAATGCATCACCCAGAGACTGTCAAAATGCTGCTGTGCATTTGTCAGTGAGAGAGCCAGTAGTAGGGCTGTAGCCATTTGTCAGCATGACATGCAACAGTAGTGGAAAGCATCTGGTAATGAACAGGGACACACTATGAAGTCTACAAGGACTTTTTGTATCTCTGTAAAGATGTGACATGATATGTAAAGTCTAGTGTAACTGTAACACACAGTTAACTTTCCAATTACTTCACTTGATGAAATGGATTTAAATAGTTCCTCTGTCCCTTCCATCCAGTGTCTACCCTGAGCCCCAAAATTGCTGTGATTGCCTTCAGGCTTGCTGTGATGTTGCATTGGAAACGTGAATATGGAAAATGGATGGATGGGTTTTGTCCAACTCTAGTCCTGGAGACTAATCTGTTGCAGATTTCCCTGTTCAGACACACCTACTAAACCTGGCATTTCCGTGATAAAGATGCATTTGAGAAGGGAAATCTCCAAACTGCGTACCTAAATAAATTTTAGTAGAAAGCATTTAAAATATCATTCATTAACTAAATAGGTACCAAATGTTTTAGTTATTTTTAATTAGGCTGGTCACACAGACTCTAGAATGTCGATATATTTCTCTGTGTTTTTCATGTAAATAGCTTGTCAGTAAAATGTGTACAGTATAACATATATTGAGACTAATGATAAAAACAAAAAGGCCCAGAGCAAGTCATAGTGGTAGACATGATACCCAGATGACTAGTTGATTAGTGAAGACCAGTGACGACTTACTCTATGTGTTAAATAGTGGGCTGTATACTAATTGCAAGTTTTTGTATAAAAGTATAATTTGTATCGTTTTTATTTTTATTTTTTTTTATCAAATTACCAAAAAGTAGATTCTTGAATTAAATGTATATGTATATATTGCAGGGGTTTTTCTAGCTATTGAAAAAAAACAGGGGTTAAGTCAAGATTACACAGGGCTTTACTTTTTTGTTTTGAGGGAGGACCGTGGTCGGGGGTAAAAGACTCGGGGGGCTAGGCTCAAAATGTCAGACCTAAAAATGCCCATGACATATGTATATTAGGTATATTAAATAAAACATTAAAATAAAATAATATTAAAAGTGTATTCCAAAGGAATGGGGTCCATTATATAGTTCTCTTTGTCCCTTAATTTTTAGGTGATATGTTTGTGTTTTAATATAATATAAATTAATATAAATATAAACAGCCCTTATCAAAAATGTAAATGGCAGATTTTATTATCCCCTCAGTAAATAACTAGATCACCAATAAGCCCTGTAATCCATGATATTTTGAATGTGTTTTTTTTCCCCTCTTCATCACTTTGCATGTCACACCACAGTCCCTCTCTAGGCACCAAAGCCTTCATCAGCTGTGGAATGTCACCTTGATAAAAGGGCTCTGAGATCTGCATTGCAGTCACTACTGCAGTCTTTGAAATACAAAGAAGAAGCAGTCTGTCTCCTTTCTGCAACCTTGAGCAATCACTTCAAGAACATTTACGTGTATTTTACCTTTTTTCAAATGTTCCAGAATTACCTTTTGCTTCTTTAAATTGCATTATTTTGAGTTTTGCCATTGTTCTTTCTTAGATGAATAGGATAAATTAGTATTTTATTTAATTGTGCTTTTAAGTATATCTGTGTTTTTGATGTATTTTAATGCATGTTCGAAATTTAACCCGTAATGCTAAAATATTTATTCGGAATACTGTCTCGTTATTGTCACAAATAACTCGATTGTCAAACATAATTTACAAAGTAAATTTTATCAGCTCTTACAGGAAAAACCAATATTTTTATTTGTGCCTAATTTCATTTTAAGATGATCATTATGTATCACTCTAGATAATGATACCTATTCTATCAAATGATAATGCTAAATACAGAAAAGAAGTATATAATACTGAGTTACTTAGTTGTAAGGTTGATTAATCTCTTACCTTTTTTCACCTTCTTACATTTATTATGTTGCGTTATTTTCCTCCAGATGCACAAAAAAGATGAAACGGCTGCACAGACCTCGCACTAATGAATGGCTCAGTTTCACAACAGCCCTCAAGAGATGTTTATTAGAATAAATGATTTCATATGTAAATTAGATACTGGCGTTTTATTAATAATTTGTTATATAATGTTAATGTAAATGTTTTGTTAGTATCCATGGGCTTTCACATTGCAAATAATGTGATACTATCTGAATAACAGTAACTGAATACAAAGTTAATAGAGACAGATTTACTTGTAAGTGCACCATTCTATTTATGGGCTTAGATTTTGTAGCAGCTAAGATCCTACCTATTCAAATTGTTCCCCTGAGCAAGTCATCACCATACTAAATCTCAGATTTCATGAACGATGAACATCCAGCAATTCAACTCTTAATGAGATCTTAATGAGACCTTGTTCTTAGGCCGGAGTCCACATACGAGAACTGAACACTGTGGACTGTAGACCCTTTTGGGGATATTACTGACTGTTCCAAGGTATACTGTAAATGATGCCCTGGGAAAAAATATCTATTAGGGAAAAAAATCATTTAATGTTTATAAATAGCATAAATACTAAGAATTGTTTGTCTGTCTTAGATTGGTTTGAGTGTTCATGCATTTGGGAGACAGAGAGAGGCTGTGTTGGTGAGAATTTATAATGTACTGGTAAAGAGAGTGTTTTTGTCTGTCCCTAGGAGAAGAAAGGTCAGGAGCTGCCCAAGGGCCCAGAAGTGGAAGTTGCCAAAATGGAGAAGTTACTGAATCTACTAAGGGAACCAGATAACAGCTGAGAGGTACAGAGGCAAAAGCTGCATCCACTGAGCATTTGTCTAGTTAAAGGTTCTGTGTAACTCAAGGCTGGAAGAACATACAGAGAGGAGAGTTCAGTGTTTTATTTGTTAATTATAAAATGAACGAATAAAAAATATGTCAATGCAGTTTAACAGTATATTAAAAATAAGAAGACCTGCCCACTTTACAATGAGAATACAAAAAAGGGGGAGTATTTACTTCAAGTTATTTAAAAAAGAAATGCAAAATCTTTAAAGTACATTAATTGAAATAATAAAATACAGTGGTTTTTATTTAGGTCACAGCCTGTATTGTGTTTGAATACATTTTTTTCTACCAAAGACACATTACAGATAACACCATATTAATGTGGGGAAGACATTTTATTATAACTGGACAGTATAGTGAAAGGAATTCATTATGTCTTTCTAATAATTTGATAATAATGAAAAGCAACATTCAGAGCTCTGAGATACAGAAGCAGTAGGGATGTGTGGTTCAGAGATGTCAGGAAAACCCACCCAGCTTTTCATCGTCATCACACAATGTCACACTTACCCAATGGAAACTAACACATGCATATTGAATAGAAGTGCCTTCTGTTTTTTTTTTACTTTACCACCATAAAATATTTCTTTTCCAGTTGTTTTAAGTTTATGGAAAGTAAAATATATGCATCAGTGTTTATAATCTCAACATCAACAATAGCCACTTACTGGTTATGTCCTTTCAGTCAAAGTTAAGCTTGTTAAATCAATAATTTTGTCCTGTAATATTTATATTAAAACACAGTGTCTCCCTGTTCCTGTACAGGTTACAATGAATCCTCAGTACTATGAAAAGGTAAAGAGTAGCTTACTGAGGATGTAAAATGTAAACTTAATCAGTCACTATTATGTATGCATGTTTATACCACTAAAGAAATTACTGTATGTTGCTATATTTTCTCTGAATAATTCAGACTCGTTTCTTGTGCATATAATAAAAAAAAATGTATCACTTTTATGGTGTTAAATTTCAATAACCTTTCACCATGCAAATACATCAGATATATCTTTCTATGTGATCGAAAAACTTAAGTCTCTTTTACGCATTTGTCTTGTCCAGCTGTTACTTTTTAAGGTCTATGTTTAACTAGCATTAATAATAGAATGTTAGCCTAGCCTAAGAAACAAAATAAATAATTGAGAATACATTCACTTGTCTGATAACTCAATCTTAATGATCCAAAATGTGTGTATATGTCTAACTGCTCACTCTGAGATGATGAAAAGATGATATTCAAAAATGTGTAGGGCTTGTATGATTCATATACTGAATACTATGGACTATGCCATAATGCTGTCATTTAGAATCCCACAATTACGCGTCAATACCCTCTTCTTTCCTGACAGACAGATAGTGACTGTCCTGAATCACACATAGCCATTTGCAGGTGGCTTCTTGTAGGCGTAGCGCGTGATTAAGGCCTGATAATGGCGACGCCAGAGATGAGCACGACGATTTTGTTTGATCCCGGCTGCTAGAGGGCGTCAGGGTGTTAGCAGGTACCGGTGCTGATTGCCCTGCTGCACCTGACCCGACGCTAACACCGGCACCCTCTCCTGGCTGGAGGGCACTCTGCAGGCTTTGCACAGGATGACAAACAGGATGACGATCAAAACGGCGACCAGAACGTTGCACACGATAGCTACGATGGCTGCAGTTGAGAGCCCTCCAGTCACCGTAGGATCCATTTTCTTCGGACCTGGGTGTGACTTCTGCCAGGAAAGGAAGGCTGTCACACAGCAGGAGGAATAACACGTGTCTTATTATATATGCCTGTATTCTCTGGGCATGATAGCCCTACAGGAACACACACTAGAGTGCAAACACTTTAGAGGTTCACCTTATTCAGCACAGGTAGATCTAAATATGCTGTGATATATGTCAGCATCATTATTCTTATGCAACAAGCTGTTTGTAGGAGTTCCCCGTGTATGAAATAAAAATAATTTCATTCTCTCATTTTGTTTTAGTAAATGTCCAATCAGTTGAACTATTTATACTTCCCTGTGCCATGCCCATCGATCCATGCTGACATAGATGTCCCTGTTTTGACTTGTTGATTTACCGTGTGATCCTATCAGACAAGTGCAGGGTTTGGCATGTCCTCCCAGGGCATTAGGGTAGGTGTCTGATCTGCCTCTGCTTGCTGGAGCGTCTTCGTAATCCTTCAAAAAGAGAAAGAAAAAAATCAATACTGTTCATTCAGAAATCACTCTGTGTGGGGGAGTGACCAGTAATAAGTGGAATAGTGTGTTTTCTTCTATCAGAGCGTATTGCCAAACAGATTACAACTATGAGCAGCACAGCACAGCACAAAATAGTTTCTCCTGACATTTCATAGCACTGCAAGTACTGGATTAAAATGCCAGGTCATATAAAAAGGTATATATTTGTAGCTTGAAACAGTATTACATACTATTTACATAGGGAGGTGTGTGACTCAGTGGGTCACGACTCTATGCCTGTGATTGGAGGGTTTCCGCTTCATATCCTGTTTCTGGTAAAATGATGTCACCATCGGGCCCTTGGGCAAGGCCCTTAACCCCTGGGCTGCCTGACATTGCCCAACATTGCATTCTGGCCCCCAAGCTTCATCTCACCTCTACAGTCAGTCCTGCTACAATGTGACTAATACATTATTGAAAAACCTTGCACTCACAAAAATTGCATACTAAAATCTCATATCCAATGTGAATAATAGGGTTAGGAGCAAGTGACTCCAAGACTTAGTAACTTAAAACAAACAAATTTAATTAAATAATAAAAAAACAGTGATACTAGTGGTCAATAATGCAATTACGTGCATTTTAAATAAATAATAATAATACATTAATAAATTATAGCATAAACATCTCCTAAGGGTCTTATGAGTCTCATGAGTATTGCCTAGTAATTGTTTCAACCAAACGTGCTGAACTTGCCAACTTGACGATTGCCGATAGCCAAGAGTAGTGAGGTTGCTGTGTGTTTTTGTATAATAATTTGTCAAATATTTTCACCAATATCATGCGTTGTAGAAGGATTGACCATACATCTGCTTAATGGAGAGCAAGATGGGATAGGCTAAAAACACAATTTTCCCACAGGAATGAATAAAATATCTGTATTCTATTCTAAATGTGATTATTTCCAGCTCTAGACCTATAGAGTGTGACCAGCTGCTTATTATGTAAATACGGTTATGGGACTGGTCTGCCACCACCCCCACCGCTGCAGAAACTCTCATATTAGCGTTATAACTCAAAAGGTATTTGATGGATCTTTTTCAAACTTTGCAGACACAATTTCTGCGTGACAAACTGGAAATTATTTCATTTTCAGACATATTACCCAAAATTGAAGAACCACAAAATGATATCAAAGAAGAGGGCAGTTTTGACATGATTGCATTAGCACAATCAATGAAAAATAATCTGAAAGATTTTTTTTTTTTCCATATTTTGCAGACATAGTGTATGGGTGAACAACTGGAACTGATCAAATTTTGAGTCAAATCACCCAAAAATTGCTTAATGCCAGCAAAGGGAAAGGTGAAAGCAGATGACATTTGACCTTGACATTTGAATGTTGAAAGTCAAAAAGTATTTAATTGATCTTATTGCTACTTCACAAAAGCATTACATGTGAAGATCTACATAAAATTTCATTTTGAGACTAATTGCCCCAAAATTGAGCCATCTTATGAACACAGTTCATCTTTCAAACTTCTCAGGAATATTGTACAGATCAGTGACTTTCAAACTGTGGAGCATGTGATGATTCTTTTATATATATATATATNCCCCCTCCCCGGCAAATTTTATCAGTAGTAGTCTGGTAGCTGGTAGACAAAATTTATCGTTGAATACTTGATGAAATGTATCATGGGGGAATTTAATTGAAGTGGGAATTCTACTGATAAGTACAATATGCCTACAACAGAAGTTAATTTTGTTTTATATATTTATTTATGTTAGATTTCGTTTTCCAATCTATTCAATTTATCATATTTTCCAATGTACTACCATTAAATCTGTTTAAGGGCAATTCTAAGTGGATTTTAAGCAAAACTGGGGCCTTGAAGTAGAGATTTGAATTAAATCACTGATAATTTTCAATGCCAACTGAAATGAAAAAAAGAAAAAATATATATATATATATATATATATATATATATATATTATGATTTTACATTTTTCCCTGTCTTCCCAGCAAAGGTGAATTATTCAGATAGAGAAAGTAAAAATCCAGACCAAGATTTTGGTTCAACTAGTTGAGTACTCTGACTGTCATACTTTATACTCAGTGGTTGGTTGAAACAAAATCTTGGTCTGGATTTTTACCTTCTAGATTTGAACTCTCCACCACTGCTTCCCACTGACCCCGCCCCCCGCTGCTATGGGAGGAGTTGCATGTAACACCTTTCCTAGTTACTATTTAGTTAGTTTAGTACCAAAAAAAAAACTATGTCAAAATAAGCATAATGAATTAGACAGAGTAACACATAAAATGCAGCTAGTTTCAAGTTTACTGCTTCCCTGTTTTATGAATATTTTCTCAGCTCACTAAAGCACAGAACTCTAACAATTATCATGCAAGGTCCTTGAAATGCTGGCCTTTTCCCACTGATGTGTAATGTGCCCATCTGTTTGGTGAGTCAGTCCTTTTTATTGATTCAAATATGAAACCCAAACACCACGAGTGCCCACGGAGAAGCAAAGGATATCCAGTGCCAGATGTTTCAACTGCGCCATATAAATTTAGATTACAATGGAAATACTTTTTCTTATGTGTTTAGTGCAAACAGTATTTACAAGAGAAGATGCAGTTGTGCCAATATACTGTAATATTCATCAACACTGCAGGACCAGCAGCAGGGTTTTACATAGATTTATTAGGGAACGCAACTCTGCATAGAGTCAATTTGTACACACTAATGACAGCCTTTACTTTGATGTGTTGGAAAAGTTACACATGTCGATGACGAAAGCCTTCCCGGAATCTCTCGACGGGGATAAGTGGTGATGATGCACGCGTGAGTGCCAAGGCTGACGCGGAGAGAAGCAACGAGGACACTGTGTGGGAAGACCGATTTATTTAAAGCTTGAAGTACTCAAGCGTTTTTATCATACCACTAAAGGTCATATAGAAGTAAAATGTTTTATGTGTCTACCTCCCACGTGCAGATAGAGTGTTAGAGGGATTCGCTTTTGCGATAAACCACAACCGGCCACATACGTATTATTTGACAGTCTGAGGGGGACTTGTCACCCCGTAATAAAAGATCCAACACAAAATAACTGAAGTATTCTGCTAGAGGAATGGCTCTGGTGAATACTTCATGTAAGGAGACTCACAGACCAGACTCATAGCTTTTGATGCCAGCAGAGACACACAGATGGGGAGGCTGGGGTCACTAATATTCCTCCAGCCCCCCATGGAGTGAACATCCATGCAAGCTTTGTCCCTCTCCCTCATCGTATAACTAATGTAGGTAGGATACACAATTCTTCATGAATTATTTAATGCTTAGTGGAGAGCATTGTGTGTGTGTGGGGGCGGGGGGGGGGCATGCATATATTACATCGTGGGGACCAAACATCCCCACAATGTTAGCAGCCATTCAACCTGCAGTTCAGGTCCGGCCATCCTTCAGATGAGATGTAAAATCGAGGTCCTGAGCCTCTGAGGTCATAAATATCCCTGGGCATCCTTCGAAACAGCAGGGGTGGTACCCCAATGCCCTGGCTAAATTGCCCACTTTGGCCCTATCTGATCTTCCCTCCTAATTACCCCCTATATCTAACTGGTGAATTCTCTCCTGCCCCTTTACCACCTTAGCCACTGTGTGGTGAGCGTACTGGTGCTGTCACATCATCCAGGTGGGGGCTACACAGTGGTGGTGGTTGCAGTGGCTCCCCATTGTAAAACTGTAAAACACTTTGTGCCTGAGGAGTCCAACATCAGGCTGCCAATCAGCAGCTGGCTCTCCTTACCTGCCAATCAGCAGCTGGCTCTCTTACCTGCCAATCAGCAGCTGGCTCTCTTTACCTGCCAATCAGCAGCTGACTCTCTTTATCAGGGTGCCATGAGGGAGCTGCTCACCCGCTCACTCAACCTATTAATAGTTTCAATCATATGCTACCTACTCTTCCTGCTTTTGGGACACTGATCTATATCTTTCTTGTGATTGAATACAAAGTCTTTTATTTCATCTGACTCATTTGGTGCATAGGCAGTATGGTGCAGAAATGCCTCCCAAGGATAGGGGGCTATTTGCATGTTTTCCTCCTGCTGGACATATTCCCTGTGGACTGGGGTCTTACCCTGGGTGTCCCCTTCCTTGTCCCATGGCATAGGCACTGTACACAGCTCAGTACACACAGCACAGTACACACAGCACAGTACACACAGCACCTTCAGCTTCAGCTTCCAGCTTCCAGCTTCTTTTCATGGCTCCCCACTGTCAGTTTAACAGTCTATTCGTTTACTGGAACCTGTTTAACCAAGTGAATTTGTAACTAATTTGAAATATTTATAGAGCAATAGCATTTCACCTACTATGTTTTTTCTTTTTAGATTAGCATAGTACTTTATAGTTATGTGATAAGAGCCTAGTACTCCATAAAATCACCCAACACAATAAGATACTGCAAAACAATCTGTGAAGCATATTTGTATGTGAGCCGCCACACGTTACTTTTAATCAGTCAGTGTCACAGTGAACGAGTAGCCATCCTATTTTGGATAAAAGGGTAAAAGCAAGAGATTTCATTATTCAGAGACAGACATAGCACATTTATTAATTATTATGGTAGAGTAACCAATGTAATTTTGCTACTGGTGAACAAGCATACTGTGGAAAAGAACCATCTAATCTAATTACATGCTCCACTTTACAAAACAGACACGTAAAAGTTTGCAGAATGATAGAGTTGCTGTCTATTGAAATGTATCTACCGTAATCCCTGAGGACTGTTGTTGTTATCGTCACTCAAATATTTTGGAGGTTATCTTAGAATTTGAAGCCATGACACCAACCCCTAGCCAGAGATCCCGGCCAGCTTTGAGAGGGGAACACGGTAAGGGGTCACCCTGCCACGACTCACTCCCCCCTCCGCAGCAAGGGATGCAGATGAAACGCATAATGAGAGTCCTTACACAGCAGGGGCGGGCTGTCCTGCTATAAGATGTCACGTGCAGTATTAAGCATAGAGAAAGAGCCGCAGTGAGTGTAATTACACAAAGGCCTGCGGATCAAGCCCTGTGGCAACTAGGCTGTATTTTACAAATTCAATTGTCATCTACTATTGAGACTTCCTCTGTTTCTCTCTGAACTGAAGGAACATTATTCCAGGAACTAAAAATACAAAAGTCAAAAATAATTATTATTCCTGAGCGTGGATTGCTCTCTGGTGCTATTCTGGTAATCAAAAATAGAAATCATCCCTTTTTTAACTAGTAGCACAATACACTAATATTTATTATCCACACAAGTGGATTTTCATTTTTCAAATTTATTGACCCTCTTAATTCATATACAGTACTACTGTATGCACAACACCATGATCTTAACACAAGAACATGCAACACAAGTACAGTAGGCCTCCTCACTCTGTGATTTCTTCTCTGCCAGACCTGAACTATTCTCTAAACTGAAGCAAACCATTACTCTGCCACTAATGGAAAAACAAGCTGCACTGAAAGGATTTACTTCAACAAAGTAAATCCCTCTGTGCACTAAGATGTTAAAGGACACCATACAATCTATCACAGATGCACGTATTTTATATTGTCCTTACAGCCAGGATAAATTTGTTGCTTTTGGGCCTACCCTCTGCAACCGCCCCCTGCTTGCAAGTATATTCAGAAGATCAAGATAACTCAAGATATATGACCTTGTACCTCACGGGGTCCTGCGGCGGGTGCATGACCTGATACTACGGGTCCTAAGGTCCCTGCATAGCTATAGAGTGGGAACATGGTTCATAATGCTGGCAGTAAACCAGACTTGTTCCTGGTGGGTAATGACCTCCAGCAGGGCTGCCCTTTGTCAACAACTTTGTTCATAACATTTATGGAGAGAATTTCTAGGTGAAGGAATGGAGAGTGACCAGTTAGGTGACCACAGGATTTAATCTTTGCTTTTTTTGCAGATGATGTGGTCACTGTTTGCTTCATTGATCTGTGACCTCCAGCATGCACTGGGGCAGTTTGCAGTCAAGTGTGAAGCCTTTGGGATGAGGATGAACACCTCCAAGTCTGAGGTCATGGCTGTTAACCAGCACTGCCTCGTCCAGGTTGGGGATGAGTTACAGCGTCAAGCGCATCTTGGGGTCTTGTTCACAAATGAAGAAAAAATGAAGCAGGAAATCAACAGGTGGATTGGTGCAGCGTCAACAGTTATGCGGACATCATACCGGTTTGTTGTGGTGAACAGAGAGCTGGCCCAAAAGGTGATTTACCAATTGGTATGCTCCCACCCTCACCTATGGTCAAGAGCTCAGAGTAGACGCTCTAGACGTGAACAAACACAAAGAGACCCTGGGGCAGAACTAGGACACGATGGAGAGGTTATTTCTCTGGTGGAGCTAGAGGAGGCGATTGGGAATTGGGGAGGTCTGAGCATCTCTATCAGACCTCGAATCTTGGAGGATACATTACAATGCATGGTTTGTGAAGTGCTACACACCGGCACTGCTTATGGCTAGTGAGGAACATTTTTCCATAATTTGCCTCAGAGTGCCATAGGCAAGCTGTAGCTATCACTTCTTCTTAGTCATGACCAGACCAACCATATCGAAAGTATATATCAGATATTAGAAAAAAAGACAGCTAAAGTGCCACCCCCCCATATCCACTGCTGAACTGATGTCTAAAAATAAGCATGTTTCTGAAGTGATAAATTAACACATTCCCAGGAGAACTGACTTGAGGATTTCTTCAGGAACAGTCACATTAATGCTCCAAAACCAGTAGGCTGTAAAAACTGAAACACAAAACCATATTGACCATATGGCCACCACACTAAGTCATCCAGAGTTCCTCAACCATCCGCACTCACAAATCCATCAGGATGGGTGGGGGCATTTGTAGAGACAGCTAATTACCATATTAGATACTCAGATTTTGTTGGCTTTCTGTGAATTGTTATATGTTTTGAATTTAAGGATTTTTATTATCATAGAGAGGTATTTTTTATCCTCCTATACATAACTGGTGAATTATATCATAGTTTAACAGTCCAAAACCCCATGTTTTGCCTAAGTGGTTTTAAATCTAAGTAATAAACTTACAACTGCTTGTAAGGGACACATCCTTTATGCTTATATCTTGTGCAGTGTGTCTCTATTATCATCTGCAATCACAGGTTCTCACAAGAGATATAATCTTTCATCAGATTGAGAGGGGGCAGAATTCCCCCTTAATGCAATGTCCCACTAGGATCCTTGGAATTCATGTACACTTACAAAGTAAAGCAATGGAGAGACTACTTCCCAGAATTCCTGCATGAAGAAAGGAGCAACCACAATGGATCTTTGCAACTGTGGGATTTTTTCACACAAAAATATTTTCAACAGCAGGTTGGGGACCATGTGAATCGTCCATGAATCATTACCTTCTTAGATAACTATGGAGCTTGAAAGGTTAGGTTTTTGCAGAAAATCAATAAAGCTATCAAAACAGTAAAGTTTTGTAGCTCGTATTTAAATGTAAAGCAGACCCCTGGATAAATATACACAGTTTTACATTGTACTTGGGCTTTTGTTTCAAAGGCCAAAATCAGACATGGATATTTAACAGTCCCTGTATAAAACAAGCACTGAATACTGACCAAGGCTCACACTTACAATTAGAGCCAGAAAAGAAGAAGAAATGTCATCTTAGATAAATGTAGTGATATACAGTGACAAAACAATTTTCTGTGCTGAAAAACAGATGGTCAAATTTCAGGGGAAATGCAGCTATACACTAGGGATGAGTCAGCATTGCTGAATATTCAAATATTAGAGAGCATGTATAAAACTGAAAAAAAAAATCTTGATATCAAATGATAAATGAGCTATTTTAAATATTAGTTTAACAGCAATATAATTAGTCGTGGTTTATCCATTCTGTAATATGTTTACAGTCTATTGGTTCTGAAGTATATTTCTACTCGTTTTGCATGAGCTCTGCATGTGCTTTCCGAGCCAATCATAATCATTTTCATCATTACTCACCCATAGTGTGATGCATTGGTGAGCCATTTAACAAAATCAAGAACTGATTACCAGAAGACATTCGGCTTTTGCTGTATGGAAATATTTTGGCTTTTAAAGACATGATATTGAGCAATAGCAAGTGATTTGCACTGGACAAACCAAGTATGGTATCAAGTGCAGATGCCGCAGCGTCTATGGAGCAAAAGAAAACAGTGTATTCTATTAGAAGTACCTAATATGCATCTTTGTTGAAACATTCCAAAAGCTGAACTAGCACAACAGCAAGCAAAAGCATCTACAATCGGAAAACTTGGTCACAAATTAGACTTTGTAGATATGAAGTTTTGTATTACCATACACATTTCAAAACATTACTCCCTAGAAAGTTCCAGCATCATGTGGACTTTGCAACCTAGCTATCAATCTGCATACAAAGCGACACCCTACAGCCCCCTTGGATACTCTGACCACCTGTTATGCTAATCCCAGCATACCAACCACTACTCAGACAGGAAAAACAGTTTCTGAAGAAGATTACAGCGTGGCCAGAAGGTTGTACCTCAACACTTCAGCACTGTTTTGAATGCACTGATTGAGACATTTTCAAGGAAACGGCAAGCTATGGTCAGAACATATACAGTACTTGGAGGAGTACACATCAATTGTGATTAGCTACATCAACAAATGTACAGAGGATGTCACTGTCTTCAAGTACAACAGTATATGTGCCAACCAGAAACCCTGGCCAACCAGTGAAGACTGAACACTGCTGAATGCCCACAATGCAAAGAGCAGGAGACAAAGCCTCCCTCAAAGTAGCAAAGACCAACCTGTCTCATGTCATCAGAATGGCCAAGAGGAGGTGTGCACAAGGAATCCACAGCTATGTTCTGAACAATGACACCCGACATGTGGCAGAGATTGCAAGCCCTGGCGGACTACAAGCTGCACTCCAGACACACCCCAAACTTATCAAACAACTTATATGCATGCTTCAACACCCACAATGACACACCAGCACAGAAAAGCACCCCCTCATCTGCCTCCATATGTACACCAACTCTCTCCAAAGTCGAAAAGCTTCTGAGCCCGACAACATCCCCAGTCATATGCTCAGGGAATATGCATTCCAAGTGCCAGATGTCCTTTTAGATATCTGCAACATCTTCTTGGGCCAGGCTATTGTCTCTTCATCTCTCAAAACAGCCACAATCATTCATTAATCAGTCAGCAATGTCAGGAGTAAATGAGTAGTGTCCTGTGGGACTTATACGTATCATCTCTAAGTGCTTTGCAAGACTAGTCATGGTCCACATCAAAGGCTGCCTCCCCACCTCACTGGATCCCATCCAGTTTGCCTACCACCACAACTGGTCCACAGAGGACATCATATCCAGTGCCCTTCACCTAACACTCATGGACCTGGAACTCAAGAACAACTACATGAAAATGCTGTTTGTAGACGTTATCTTAGCATTCAACACTATTGTCCCACAGAAGTTCATCAGGAAACTAGACACACTTGGTCTCAACAAATCCAACTGCAATTGGTGCAACAATTCGAAAATCATTGGAAAGTATTGCTCTGCCAATCTTGAGCTCCTTATAGTTTAGTGTAGACCCTTTTATCTGCCTAGTGAGTTCACAGCCATTACCATTATTGCTGTGTACATCCCCCCAGGTACTAATGCTAAGGCAGCACTTTAGCAGCTACAGCGTGCCATCAATAATGAACAGATTAAGCATCCGGACAATGCCTTTATCATAGGCAGTGACATGCTAACCTTAGAACTGTATTGCCTAAATTCCACCAGCATCTATCCTGCCACACTAAGGGACAGAAGATTCTGTACCACCTTTACACTAACATTAAGGACTGATATAAGGCCACTCCCTGCCCCCACCTGCGTCAGTCTGACCACCTTTGCCTGAACCACCCCAAAAGATCTAAAGAGGATGCCATTGCCACAGCCCTGCTCTCTGTCCTGACCCACCTGGAACACAAAAACATCCGGATGCTGTTCATTGATTACAGCTCCCCCTTCAACATCAGAATCCCCTCAAAGCTCATAACCAAACTCCTCTCACTTGGTCTCTCCCTCTGTAACTGGACCCTGGACTTCCTTACCTCAGTCGGTAAGGCTAGGCAAACACATCTCCTCCACTCTGACCCTGGTGTACCTCAAGGCTGAGCCCAGAGCCCCTCCTCAAATCCCTCTTTACCCATAACTGCCTTCCCATTCAGCACTCCAATACAATAATAATTAGGGATGGGCCGATCCACATTTTTACAGTTCCAATCTGATTCCGATACAACTGCCGATACCGATACAGATTCCAATACAAGAGCTCTTTTTACTTCGTTATACTTTATATATAATTTTTTTTAAGCTAGTAAACACAGATGGAAAAAATGTATGACAAAATGTTTTTAATTCGGTTACTACAAACATACATAACATACTATTCCACCTAGGGCTGGACAATAATTCGATATCAATATATATCGCGATATAATTTTTTTCAATAACGATGATACGATTTTTAAACACATTTCCGATATTTCGATATACATATATACTGTATCATATAATATACAGTATATGAATAATCAGCCTGTTTTAGTTTAAATGGAAATATATTATTGTTACTAAGCTGAGTCTGAGAGTTTTATTTATTTGATAGTTTATTTCACATTTCTTGTTTGTAAAGGCTAAATACAAATAAAAAGTGAACCTTATTTTTTTGTACTGTTTTTATTTTAAAAAATTATATAATTTTAATAGGAGGAGCCTGGAGGTATTATAGACTTTGCAAATTCAGTTTGCAGACATCCATTGTGTGTGTCCTCGGCAGTTTTTTCCTGAGGCTTTTTAATATTGTCCATATCGATATCGGAATTATATCGTATCGACCAAAATTAAGAAATATATCGTGATATAAATTTTTGCCATATCGTCCAGTCCTAATTCCACCTCATTTGTACGTCTTGTTTTAAGCATTTTTGAGGCATTTGCAGTTCAATATGAATATCTTCAAAACAAGTCGCTGTGCTACTTGTTTCTGTTAAAAGCGTAATATCAGCAGAATATCAAGATCACTAACACTCAGCACCAGTGCCCCACAGGGATGCATCCTCAGCCCACTGTTACTCATCCTGATCACACATGTCCTGATCAGACATGCCCCTATGTCCCGCATGTTCTGGTGAATTGAATTGAATTGAACTGAACTGAACTGAACTGAACTGAACTGAATTGAACTGAATTGAATTTAACTGGATACCAGACTTTTTAACT